TAGTCAAGACAAAATAAACTGAACCTTTTAATATAACTTTTATTACAATAACAGTACAAGTATTTACAGAAGTTTATTTCAAATGAGCACACTTTCTGCAACTACACACTTCTGCCAATGTTTATGCCTCTTATTAAAACAGTCTTACAGCTCATTCTGCATTATCTCTTTGAGTACAATTGTTGCAATACTTTTGCTGATTTAAATCCTTGATCCTTCAAAATAGGTTTCATTTTGTTGAAAATATGAAAGTTTGTGAGAGTGTATAGAAAATTTTGTTTTTAATGTCAAATAATAAATAATCATTGTAATTTATTTTTTTTTTTTATTTACTTACATTACTTACTTGTACAATGTTATTTTATATTTACTAAAAATATCATATTGTTGTCTTGAACAATATTATAAATTTAGAGAATATGATATATAGGGAAGACCCTGAACAGTTAAAGGAAATTAAAGAAAAAGTGGTTAAGCTTACGGATACAGTACATACAGGTTTTAAGAAAAGACATATCAAGAAAATGAAATGGATCATGAATAAGCAAATACTGGAAAAAAGGAAGAAGAATAGTTTACTATTTATCTTACGGGACCAAGTTGAAGTTCCGGAAAAAGTTAGGGAGGTACTGAAAAAAGGTCCAAACTTTGTTTTGGCTAATGCAGGGGTCAAGGCAAACCTCAATTCTAGAACTGGAGAGAGGAATTTCAGGACTTGGTGGTATGGAAAGCAGTTATATAACACAAGACCAAACAAAAAAGACAAAAGAAAGTATTAGCAACAAAGATATAAAACAAATGTGAGAATGGTTGAGAAAGAAAGGCTTAGGCTTAACAAGATCAGACAAAAGCAAGCATTTGGTTATTATGAAAAGGGAAACTTACAGTAAAAGTTTGGAGGATTATATCAAATGAACAGAATGCAAAGGGATTGATATAAAAATTATTGAACACATCAATAGAGTTAAAAAATTAGAAAAAGCAAGCTAGCCAATGTATTAAGTTTTCTTAAAATATGTCAGAACATAAGACTAGGGATGACAAGATTATTTGCGTTTGCAAAAACACATAAGCACAGTAAAGAAATAAGACCAGTATTGGAAAAATGTAGAGGACCAACATATATTCTTGAGAAGCGATTGCAAAAATACATTACCACCAATCTTGAGAACAGTATATTGGTTGCACAGGACTCAACAAAAGTGGTGAAAGAATTACAAGACCTCATGTTAATGGATGAGGAAATAGGGACAGTAATGGACTATGAGAACTTGTACCCTTCAATAAAAGTAGAATCATGTTTTGCAGCATTAATGGAATTTATGCTCATGCAAATCCTGGAGTTAGTTAATTACACCAATGGCATGATAGAATTAGCAAGATTAGTATGATACAAATCATTTTTTAGACTTTAATAACCAAATATATAGGCAAAAGAGAGGAGTTTCCCTGGGGAGCCTTATACCAGGAATGTTATGTGAATTAGTGTTACAAAAACTGGAAAAAGTATTATGAATGGCTTCAAAGCAAATATTATGTATTTTAAAAAGTATATGGATGATGTATGCATAATTTGGAAGAATAACAAAAGCATCATTGAATTTATTGATAAGATGGGCTGAAATTGAAAATAGAACAAAAAACTTACTACAACTATATTTTTTTGGACATAAACATAGAATTTAAAAATGGAAGAATACATACATACAAGTGTGTACATCAAGCCAACACACAGCCTACTGTACATCCCTTCCAATTCAAATGATTCTTATCAATACAAATTAGTGGCATTCCAGGTACTCATCAGAACTTTTTTATATTGTGATAATGTAATAGATAGAATGAAGGAGCTGAACAGAATTAAACAAATGGCCACAACACTAGAATATTGAACTAGCACAATAGAAGGTCTGATTAGAAGGTTTGAAGATAACAAACCTAGGACAAAAAAAAATGTCAAACCTAGTGGAATCATGAAATACACTTTTAACAGAAGTATAACTAATATCATGAAAGAAATCACAGAATGTAAAGGATTTAATATGGTTGTAAAAATAGCCGCAACTATGTATCGAATTTTAAGAAACGATAAAGGGATAGTGTGAGGATTCGAATCCAGACTTTCCGTGTGTTTACATCATTTGTTCATAACGTCACATCATAACTATAAACTTGATAAATAACTGTCAACTTTCATACCTGGGAGAAAAACATCTGTTAAATTCTCGGGCCTGACAACGATGCTTTCTCATCACCTTTTGACCTAAAATCTTGATTTCAATATTACAACATTAGAACAGAACAACAAAGTAAGGGAGTCATCACCAGTTCCTCAATCGAACCACTCAAGTTTTTCCTGTGCTAAAATATTCAGATAACCTTCTCTCCTTTGGATATATCCCAGCCTTTGGATACCTCCTCACCTAATATTTAGTTAACTAAGAACTGTCTTCTTTTGTGTCTGACTGACTTGCAGCAGATCCAGATTTCCTACAAGGTATTTATCGCCATGCACAACTTCTGTAAACTCTCTCTCGGGAATCGCAAAAACGTTAATATCCGATATATTTATTTAATATCTATCAATCATAGAAATGTATCTAAAAGCTAGCATATTTAAAATCGAAATGTTGTATGGCTTATAATTACTCATTAAATAGTTGTTACGTTAACCCATCTCTGAGTAAGTCACTTCCGGTGCGCTGTCTCTCCATCCCAAATCCGTTCGCTCACATATGCAATCATTCGCACGAGAACACAATGGTTTCTGTGTCTGTCCATGAAGACACAGTGGTGTCAGTCCTGATGAAACTTGTCATTGCAATCTTCACCGATGCGATGTCGAACCTTCGGTCACGTGGTGCCGAAGTATAGGGAGGCCCTTCAGCATTGTCACAATAGATTAGATACAGAAGAAATGATCAGTGTGTACAGGGTACTATATGAAAATATGCAGTGGGGATAGACAAGGATTACATTGGTGTCACCATGAAGAACTTGAAAATTAGACTTAACTCTTTAAGCTCTGAAAACTCACTCCATCTCTGTCGTAATGACTAAATTGTTTTTACCTTTCAGGCTATGAGGGAACATGTATAGCAAAACTAGTCTAACAACTTTTCAATCAGCTGATTTGTTTTTAACAGATAAAGTTGATTTTTGCTGATTTTGTATTTAAAGAGTTAAAGCGTCATAACTTTTGAACACAAAAAGATAATTTTAAAGTCATTACACCAAAATTACATCATTACACATGCTCAGTTACAGCATGTGAAGGTTTTGAACATTCATTAGTCAGTTCAGAAAAATGGCTTTAAAAGAGAACATATTAAGAGAGCACATTGTACAAATGTATGAAAATAAAGTAAACCACTTAAAAAAAAAAAATTGGTGGTGGAGCATGTTTTAGCTGAAAGCTATAGTGAATCAGCTGTGTATAATATTTTTAAGAAGTATGAAATAGCTAGAACATGTAAAAGAAGGCTAGGAAGTGGAAGAAAGCTGATTGTTTTGAATGCTAAAAACTGGAGAGTATTGTGACACATATTTGACAACAAAGATGTAACTGCATCACCTGGCTAACTAGTCAGGTGGAGAATGCTAAAAAGTTCAATTGTCATCAAACATACATAGGTAAGACACTTAAGAAGATGAGCATAAAGAAAAGTAGGAAGAAGAGGATCCCAGAGTATACTGGTTAAAAAATTACTGAAATCTGAATGCAATGCAGATGGTTCATAAGAAATTTTAGATGATGAGAAAGAAGTACTTTTTCCTCTCTGGCATGCAGATGCTAGAAAATAAAATTTACTATTCGAGCAATGAAAATCAAGCACCTCCTGAAGTGAAATAAAAATTTAAGAAGAAATATGAAGAAAAACACATGCTGTACATTGTCATTTTAGCAGGTGTTTCAAAGCCTGTTTTTTAAGAAGGAATTCCTTACAATTGATTCTGACACTTATCAAAATGAAAGAAAATTCTAATCCCATTTCTTAACAAGCATCAAGATGATGATTTCATCTTTTGACCTGACATGACAAAGCTTCATCTTACTATACAAATTCAATCATGGAGTTCCTCAAAGCCAAAAACATTTCTTTTGTACCCAAAGTATCCATCAAATCTGTTACAATGCCAGCCAATTGAGGATTTCTTTGGAATTTTTTATAAATAGTATACAAGAAAGGTTGGCAGACAAAAAATACTACACAACTGATCTGAAGAATTTGACTTTCACTTTACAAAGTTGACATGAAGGCTGTCCAAAGGAGTTGAGTCTATCAAAACAAACTTATGGCACATTGCCAACCATGGTTCTTTAATTCTATACTATTGTAAATAAAATTTCTTTTAAAATATTATACTTTAAAAATAGTCTCAATTTTTTGTCTTACCTAATTATATAAATAAAAATGATAAATTATAAAATATTTTTAAAAATGCTTAATGAATATTTCATTATATACAACTTCATTTAGATTATGTAAATTTATAAGTTTTTGTAACATCACCATCATGATATGTTTCTATTGAAAACAATTTGAAAATTTAGATTAAATTTTTTAATTTGAATAATTGATAAATGCTAATTCTATTTTATAATAAATACAATCATAATAAATACAGTCAAACTTTGAAATTTACATAAGATTTAATGTGATGCTGAACTGAAATATCATAAACAGTAAGAATTATATATAGTAGTGCAGTTTACACATGACTTTGAGAGTTTGAAAATTTGCAAGGGAAGTGATTTGATGATGATAATGCAATTTGAAATGAAAAATTATACATTTAGTAATTTGCAGATAACTGAATGGTTCAGTTAACAGTAATATTGAATAAAAAAAATNAAGAAATATCCTATTGAATATATAATTTTATTAGTTATATTAAGTCTAAAATAATTGAGTTTCGTGTGAAATTTAAAATAATATAAATAAATATTTGTGTAACTTCCTTAAAATTATAGGCATCTTCCACTTAATGTCTTCTGCTTAATGTTTTTCTTGTAAAATGTTTCTTATAACTCAAACTTCATAGAACATATGTATCTGTTTATTTTTTGACTGATGTTTATGCAAGAAATATATTTACATAGCAAATCAATATATAGGAATAGTTTTAAGTTAAAATTTTAAATACAGTTGGTTAGAACATTAGAATGATATGTAGATGTTTTGAAAAGCTTTTCAAGTGCCAAGAAATGGAATGTCTGTGTTGAATATAGCTCATACTGGAAGGATCATCTTAACAGCATGTCATATTGCAATACCACCTGTAGTAGAAAACCTAAACATACTTTTTTGACATCACTAACAGTAAAGTTCAAGTAAAGTTCAAATCATGTTTCAGTTGTGACCTCCAGTTTTTATTCAGTCAAAAAGACACCTTATGACTCTTTGAACACAAATTAAGACTATTTATTTACACTATTTACAGAGATACACAGCAATATATCTAGATTGCTACTAATTATGATGTCTTAGTCTAGACCTCTTCTCAATCCAAATCTCAGGCTAAGCACCCTTTCCTCGATCCAACATCACCTTATATCCAAGTTTTGAATCCGTTGGCTGACCAATCAGGAGCTGAGCTGAGCTTTGTATCAGGTCCGCTTCAGTTGATATCCTGTCTCAACTTGTCCAGGATGACTCGCCAACCATCACTTTCTAGACCATGTGCTTCGACATGTGAAAACTTGACCTATCTTGTTACTACAAGATAGGCCTCCTTGACACTAACAATGTTAAATTAATTCTCCAATTTACAGGAAGAGATGTCTGAGATATTTGTTAAGAATGTTTGCAGTTTATTCCTTGTTTTTATCATAATCTTTTGTTTGAACTTTTTAAATAAATGTTATAGCCTGTATTATTTTCTGTGTCATTTCATAAATGTAATGTTTGTGATAAGACATTTAGATTGTACACAGTGCGGCAATTAAATTCCGGGACTGAAGCTATATCTCAGCAACCAGTAGCAACATCTGTTTAAATTTTATATCATATGAAGTTTGAACAGATGTCGCTACTAACCTAAAACTTTTATTTAAATCGGTTGACATTTATCATTGTTTTTGATATTTTGTTTATCAGTTTATTTTGTTACATGTTGGCAAACAATAATGGAACAACGTGCTGTTATTAAATTTTACACTAAACTTGGCACAAGTGCCACAGAAACGTTCAAAATGATGCAGAAAATGTATGGAAGTGTGTGTTTATCACGGTCAAAGACTTTTGAGTGGCACAAGCGATTTTTGGAAGGCAGACAATCACTGGAGGATGACAAATGTGTGGGAAGGCCAATAACAGTTCAAACAGCAGATTCAATTCAAAAATTGCAAGAATTTGTATCCAACGATTGCAATGCAACACTGAGAATGATGGAACAGGCATTAAACATTAACAAAGAGACAATACGAGAAATTATTAAAGAAGATTTTGGCAAAACAAAGGTCTGTGCTAAATTTGTTCCGCACACACTAACCCAAGACCAAAAATTGATGAGACTGGAACATTCCAGAGAGATTGTACGAGCAGCAAATAACAGCTCAACCTTCCTCAAATCAATTGTTACTGGTGACGAGACCTGGTGTTTTCAATATGACCCACAAACAAAACGTGAAAGTGCCAAATGGAAGTCAAAATCATCACCTCAAGCCAAGAAAACATGAAAAGTTCCATCAAAAATCATGACGATGTTCATTATTTTCTTTGATAGCAAAGGCATCATCCACCGTGAGTTCGTCCCACAGGGTCAGACAGTTACTGCTGCTTTCTACTTGGGAGTTTTACAATGATTAATGGGAAGAATTCGTTGAATTCGACCAGAATATCGCAATTCTGATGACTGGTGTTTGTTACACGATAATGCACCAAGTCACACATCATTGATTGTTCATCAATTTTTGGCACGAAATCAAGTCTGTGTGTTGAATCATTCGCTGTATTCCCCCGATTTAGCACCATGTGACTTTTCTTTATTTCCAAAAATGAAAATGAAGTTGAAAGGACGCANTGACTTTGAGAGTTTGAAAATTTGCAAGGGAAGTGATTTGATGATGATAATGCAATTTGAAATGAAAAATTATACATTTAGTAATTTGCAGATAACTGAATGGTTCAGTTAACAGTAATATTGAATAAAAAAAATACAATTTAAAATATAATTTATAAAATTATAAATAACAATTTTATAAAATAAAATATAATTTTTCTAGTTTAATATCACCATTTTGGTTATTAATTATTTCTTAGATATTTTAATTTTTTTCTTTGATTTAATGAATATAATATTTTGTAAAATTAACTGCTAAATTAAAATTTTTATATTTTTATAAAACAGCTGCTGAATTATTATTTGAAAAAATCTGATGAAAATTTAGTAATTTAAATTTAAATTTAGAAAAATGTTTTAGAATACATAATTTTATAGAAAATAATTTAAGCATTTTGTATTAAATAGGTATCTATTTACACTTCAGTTAAAGAAAGATCTTGCTCAAGGTATTCTTCAATGTAATGATAACACAGCTGCTCTCATGGCTTCCTATATTGTTCAAGGTGAATTTTATATATGGTTTTTTGATGAAATTAATTTTAATAATGTATCACTCAAAAACTAATAATTAATTTGTAAGTAATATTTATACAATTTAGTGTTAACTTTAATTTTAGTTTCTTTTTTATATGATTTTCGTGGAATATATTCTAAATATTCAATATGTATGTACAGTACAGTACAAATGACTATAACATTTAGCCAGATATATCACCAGAGGGGTTGCCTGGTGAGTAAACCAGTTTGCACTAGAAGACAAATGAAAATTTTTTTTGACCATCACAAATGAAAGAAAGGAGAAATAGTCTTTGCTGGAACAATAATTATAGTTTCAATTCCTTTAAATATTGTACATATAGAAATATAGTATTCTGAGTAAAATAAAAATTAAAAAATTCTTTAAACAACTTTTAAAAGTGTATTAGTGGAACTTTAATTTTAACTATGCTATTTATTTTTTTAAAAAATTGTAAGTTTCTTAGTTATAATGGTCTTAAACTATTTACATAAGTTAATTCTTATGTAAATAGTTTAAGATCATTATAACTAAGAAACTTACAAATTAATTATGATCAATTCTTACTATATGCTAGAACCAATTCAGCTTCCTTGAATGTGTAAAATTATGTTACTAAACTTAAGCTGTTTCAAAAGCAAATGTAATTAAAATATTAAATAAAACATAGTTATTTATTTTTAAATATTTAATTTATTTTGAGCTGAATGAATGAGATAGATTTTTAGATTGCTTTTAGATGATATGAAGTTTTAATCTGGAATTATTATAGCATCTATCTACAAATTTTACTTAAAATATGATATTTATTAATTATCTTATTTCATTAACAAGATTTATAAAAATATACTTGCTTTTGAATCATTTTTCATGATTAACTTCATGAAACCTTTCCTGGAGTGAAAAGTTTTCTATTAAAGATTTGGTAAAAAAGATAACTAGAAATCCTATATTATAATGCTTTTACAATATTGATTTGATCTTGATATTATTATGCTTTAACTTTTTAATAAAAAATATGTCTAGTCAACTTTCAAACATTCAAAAGTAAAAAAAGTAATGTAAATATAATATCCGCTGTGTTTACCATTAATCATTTTTTACTTTAAGAGAAGGAAAACATGACTTATTTAATAAAATTCATTAATTTACTTTTTGCTGCTCAAGAATAGGGAGAATAATGAAAATCCACAATGGAATGTTTGACATTTTCTTCTGCCAAAAGAAGAAATCTCATTGATCTAACAACTTTCAGTCTCTTGTCTAAATATTGGTAATTCTGTACTTTCAAATTTTCTCCTGCACCTTTCAATATCCCAAAATGAATTGATCTTTATGTCTGATATTTTGGGAGATTATTAAATTAATTAATTGCAATATTAAATTGCACTTATTTAATATATTAGGAATAAGCCTGACATTGTTCTATGTATGTAATAAATTTTAATTTTCACTGAAAATTTTACTACTTTTATTAAAATTAAATAAATTATTATTATAAAATAGTTTTAATATTTTGTTATAAAGTTTATAAAACTTTAATTTTTGAATTTAATTTTGATTTTATCAATATCTATATTTCTGACCAAAAATTTTTTTTGATTTCCAGTTTCTTCTCTCTGGCAACTCTAAACAAATTGGTTTGCTTTTATTTAGCACTAAATATAGACAAATGACAAAACTGAATAGGCCAGACTTCTAATGAAATTTGTAGATATAATACATCCCTAAGTATCTCTTTACACATGTTCAACTTTAAAATTTTTATTCTGGAAGTCACTCAATCTTATTAAACTTTTCAGTAAAACATAACTAGAAATCTAGTATCTTAAGATATTTTTCTGTTTTTTTTTTTTTATTTTACAATAAAGGTATTTTACCACAATGTTTTGAGGACTCTGCTAGTAACAAAATAATTGAAAAGTTAGACATCATATTCATATCTTATCCAAGTGGAAAACTTTTGCTATAAAATAAAACAATACTTTACACTTCTAGCAATGCAATTGCTTAATCACGCTAACATTGATCAACTTAACTGATTATCTTTAGGTGAAATTAAATCGTATATTACATTAGAACAAAGTGTAGATGGAATGTTTGAGGAATAACATATCTTTATAAACATTTCAGAATTCAAAAAATTAAGGATAAAATAAGGACATTTCTAATGCTTAGCGGGCATTATATAAAGCGGGGTAGTGAAAGAACTCTTGAATGGACATTACAATCATTAACGACGATTAGTTTTAATTTCAATCTTGTTAAAAATGATTCATTATAGTTACTTGATCTGTAATTTAAGTTTATGTTCTTAAAACTGAAAACGTTTATTATTCTGTTAGATGTTGGAGAATGTTTAGTTCTTGTTTTTTTGAAATTTTGGAATGTTTTGAAAGATGCATTCTTCCTCATCATTTTGTTCTAATGTAATATATGCCTCAATTTCACCTGAAAATGATTAGTTAAATTGATTAAAAACATTAATATGATATTTGACCATTGCTTTATTTGATGTCTAAGGTGCTTATTTTGTTAGATAAGTTAGATTTCAAATTAAACTTTTGCTTTTTGAGTCAATTGAACAATTTTGCCTGCTTTGATAGAGATCTTTGATTATTTAACTTATTAACTGTTGTCAAATATCATTATCAAAATTTAAATCTAAAGTTATGAGAAAAATTGAATTATCAAGAAAATAGAAGATTCTCTAAAAATGTTTCATTCATTCAGTAAATCTAGATTTTTAAAATGATGTTCTTACCACCTACTGGTAATAGGAACACTCTTTCCTTGATGTATCCCCATAGAATATTTGAAATCAAGTGAATAAGGGAGCCATCAAAAAAGTCTTTCAGAATCTATTCATCTGCCACTGAATTCCTGGTTTAATAGCATATGTGTATCTCTAGCAAAATGTGGTAGACCACTGTTTCTGAAACCAAATTTCTCTTTTAAAATTTAGTAGTATATCTTTTACACTGTAGTTGGTTGCACAATAGGATGAGAACAATTTGAATAAACTTAAAGTTTCAACTATTTATAATTTTTAATAGATGTATGTTAATAGATAGATGATAATATATTCTAATATATAATAATAATTTCTTATAACATACATCTATTAAAAATTATAAATAGTTTAGGTGAAAATTTCTTGTCTTTCTCTATATAATTAAAAAAATATACACTTTCTAGAGTTCTATTTGAATTTTCAAAGTCAGCTCATGTTTTCCTATGGAAGGTGGAGAGAAGTGGCATAATTTTATCATTATTATGAAGCTTCTTTAAAACCATAAAAAATGAAGAAAAGGATGGTTTAATTTATATTAGGTTGTAAAACTTTATGTAGGGCAACCTTTGTACAATGCTAAAAATTATAGGGGGGAACTAATCTTCAATAATTTACTGAAATAAAAACATTTTTTGGGATCAGATTTTCATCTCATAATCAGATCACATTAAAAGTAACATATTTTTGAACAAAATATTAGATTTAATAGTTTGAATGTAATATAGAAAATCATGTCAAAATTTAAAAAATAAGTATAAATGTATAAAAAAATTTTTGTTTAAAACATTTTAAACATATCACAGAAAACTTTGATATGTTCAAAACAATAATGGTGACATATTGTAACAGAATTCCAAGTCTGAAAGGATTTGAATTGATTTATTTTTAAGTTTTATTCTCCAGTAAAGCAATTTTTCTGTTATGAAAATAAAACCAAACTTTTTAACTTGTAAATGTGCTGTACAAAATAAATATGAGCATTTTTACTTAAAATAACAAAACAAAAATTTCAGTTTTTTTTTTTTGTAAGTAACATTAAGGTTATATTTCCCAAAATGAAGCTATTTTATAATAAGAGAAAAAGGATTGTGACATCACAATTCTCAGCTGCAATTTTTACTCATATTTTTAATTTATTTAATTTAAAATATGGGTATCCCTTACTTAACGTGGGATTTGATTAATGCACAAAATTAATTGCAGCAATCTCTTTATATACAGGGCAGAAGTGTTAATTAACTCAGCTTTAACAGCTGTCTTTACTTAACATAGATATGTTTTTCACAGCAAATAGGGTGTTGGTGAATTTGCTATTTTCATGCTGAGGGTGATTTCCGATATAGATATGTAGTTTAATTATGATAGTTGTGAAATTTAATACATTACTGCTAATATGATATTGTATTTTTTGTTTATAAGCTTATTTTAAAATTTTACTTCACATTTTGTTTACATAAAATCAAATCAAAATGTCTGCAGATAAAATATATATCAAGCATATTGTGAGAATCTGGAGATATTTTTAACGAGTTTGTTAAAATAATGTTTTAAAATTATATCAAATTAAACTTGATAGAAAAATTATCTGTCTTTGTGAAAGGAAGCACTTCCTCTGACTCACGGAGAAAAACAGTTTAGTTCCTCTTAAACTGATAGTTTGAGTGCAATGTCTCACTCTTTATCCACAAGACCACCTGATTTCTTTCTTATGCTGGAAGTAATGTGTGATATTGCAATGATTCTATTGAATAAAGGTTAGTATAAAAGATGAACGGTCACATGTCAACTTGCTCTTGTCTGATGTTTATCCTGGATGTTAAATGTTTAGCCAATAAATTACCAAATGATCGCCTAAATATCGGGCTATAATATGGCTAATTAAATGATTGGAATAAAGTAATTTGACATTAGAGGTAGGCATTAGGTGCCATCTCTTAAGTAAATTAATAATTAAAATTAAATAAATAAATTATTAAATAAATTTTAGAACCTTCTGGAATAAAAGAACTGGCCCGGGATGGCTTGAACCCGCAACCTTCGCTTGTCGTGCGGTGCGCTTGCCAGTTACGCCACCCAGACCCCGAGCGAGTCTTTGCTTCTAGAAGTATATTAGATTAGATTGTTTAGCCAATGCTTTCATTTTGGTGCTTTTGTCGAGCACCCAAGACTAGCCATCCCTCTGCTAGTTCTCAACCTCCAGTTGTTTCCAGGGACTACTCAACTCTCCATGACTACTATGGAAACATAGGTAATATAATTATGTCATGTAAACTTTCTCTCAAGTCAGGTTAGATTTAGAGGTTAGATTCGATTCTCTCTGTATTTTATAGTAATATTACTTGCTTGTTCTTATTATGTTTAAGGTACACTTTTATGTATATATTTTAATTATAGTTTGTCTTAATAAATATATAGAAAAATCCTAATTTGAATAATTGATTTAATGCCTAACTCCATCATCAATCCACATTACCATGAAATTCATGTAAATCATGTAATCCATGTAACTAATGTTGTTAATGTTTAAAGCAACTTTCCTATATTCCAGTGATACAAATTCTACTTTACTTTGTGTCTTAGTCTGCAAACTAGACTAAGTGGTGTCAAGACTGACAAGATTTTTACAGGATCTTCTTAACTATAATGGCCATCCCTGTGAGATGGAATAGACTGTTTCAGTCTCCTTGATCTCACAATATTATGTATGCTTTTTAAGTTTTGTAAAGTTATATAATGTTATACAAACAGTAAAAAATGCTTATAGTTTATGGAAAAGATGCTCCTAAATGTCAGGCAGATGTGGACAGGTAACGTTGCACTTGCCGACATAGAGAAGCAATCTAAGAATAAAGCAGTTGTCATTGAATGTTTTTTGTGTATATTTTTCGTTAGGTGCATGCAATGCTGCTTTTATTTTTGATTTCTAAGACTAAATTCCATTAGGTGCACTCAGTTGCATCAGTGAGCACAGACATTTCCACTTTACTACCTCTATATATGGAAAACAAAGTCATGGACTCTTATTTTTTTACCTTTAAATGGACCATCATTACATTTTCAGACTCCTCATTGCAATTGATGGAAAATCGCAAAGTTTTATCAAAATTGGCCCATTAAATTTTGAGAATAAACTTGATTTTATAGCAAAGCTAATAGAAGGCATGCTAGCAACCATGGAACATTGCACGACAAAGTCACACAATTTGTGCGATATTGCTTTATCACACACACTCATAAAATGACCTTATATCTTGAAAATAAAGCCATGTTTTCGAGATATAAGGTCCCCCATTTTTNTTTAACTATACTTAACTGGTATTAAAATTTTATTGTATAAAATATTTAAAATGTTCTATGAATTATAAATTAAAAGGTAATTTTTTCGAAAGTAGATATATACTCACAACGTAATAATTTACATAGTTTTGTAATTCAAATTATTCTCTATTTTTAAGTACTTATTTTATTCATAAATAAAATTATACTTTTATAGCAGAGTGTGGTGATTATGTATCTGAAGATTATCCTGATCACACTTATTTGTCTTCCTTCAAGTTTGTTCCCCATCAGGATGCTGAATTTCAAAAGAAAATTATGGAAAATCATAAGAAACACGTGTAAGCAATATGTAGAGCTGACAAACTTTACCTATTTTATAGTATTTCTATTGTTTTTATTTACAGTGTATGTTTTTATAAATTAAGATTTGTTTTATCATTTATTATTTTTTTACTTTTATTCAATTTTATATAATTGTGTAATAATTTTATTTATTATGTTCTATTTTTTGTTTTAAAATTTATTCGATTTACAAATTTCTTATCTGTACCTAAAAATGGCTATATGAATAACCAAAAATGTTTATGTTGATAAGGCATTACCAGATTAAATGATGTTACATTATTTGTTTAGTATTCAGTTATAAAGTTACAATTTATTAGTATCATATATAGTACTTAAATGACTTTTTTAAAATATTTGAATCTTAATAAGTAGTTGCAATGCAAGGTAATATGCTGCTTGAAAAATTATTATTTTGGAAAAGAATTCTGGTATATTCCAGTAGAAAAATTGATTATTTTTTACTATCATAATAATAATAAAATTTATGTGTGTTTACATTATTTCAGTGGACAGTCTCCTGCTGAAGCAGATTTGAATCTGTTAGAAACTGCTCGTAGATGTGAACTCTATGGCATAAAAATGACTTCAGCTAAGGTAAATCTTTAGTTTTGAATTTGAAAGATGGAAATAATGTTTATGAAGTAAAAATTTTAATTATGAATTATTTATNGCATCTATCTACAAATTTTACTTAAAATATGATATTTATTAATTATCTTATTTCATTAACAAGATTTATAAAAATATACTTGCTTTTGAATCATTTTTCATGATTAACTTCATGAAACCTTTCCTGGAGTGAAAAGTTTTCTATTAAAGATTTGGTAAAAAAGATAACTAGAAATCCTATATTATAATGCTTTTACAATATTGATTTGATCTTGATATTATTATGCTTTAACTTTTTAATAAAAAATATGTCTAGTCAACTTTCAAACATTCAAAAGTAAAAAAAGTAATGTAAATATAATATCCGCTGTGTTTACCATTAATCATTTTTTACTTTAAGAGAAGGAAAACATGACTTATTTAATAAAATTCATTAATTTACTTTTTGCTGCTCAAGAATAGGGAGAATAATGAAAATCCACAATGGAATGTTTGACATTTTCTTCTGCCAAAAGAAGAAATCTCATTGATCTAACAACTTTCAGTCTCTTGTCTAAATATTGGTAATTCTGTACTTTCAAATTTTCTCCTGCACCTTTCAATATCCCAAAATGAATTGATCTTTATGTCTGATATTTTGGGAGATTATTAAATTAATTAATTGCAATATTAAATTGCACTTATTTAATATATTAGGAATAAGCCTGACATTGTTCTATGTATGTAATAAATTTTAATCTTCACTGAAAATTTTACTACTTTTATTAAAATTAAATAAATTATTATTATAAAATAGTTTTAATATTTTGTTATAAAGTTTATAAAACTTTAATTTTTGAATTTAATTTTGATTTTATCAATATCTATATTTCTGACCAAAAATTTTTTTTGATTTCCAGTTTCTTCTCTCTGGCAACTCTAAACAAATTGGTTTGCTTTTATTTAGCACTAAATATAGACAAATGACAAAACTGAATAGGCCAGACTTCTAATGAAATTTGTAGATATAATACATCCCTAAGTATCTCTTTACACATGTTCAACTTTAAAATTTTTATTCTGGAAGTCACTCAATCTTATTAAACTTTTCAGTAAAACATAACTAGAAATCTAGTATCTTAAGATATTTTTCTGTTTTTTTTTTTTTATTTTACAATAAAGGTATTTTACCACAATGTTTTGAGGACTCTGCTAGTAACAAAATAATTGAAAAGTTAGACATCATATTCATATCTTATCCAAGTGGAAAACTTTTGCTATAAAATAAAACAATACTTTACACTTCTAGCAATGCAATTGCTTAATCACGCTAACATTGATCAACTTAACTGATTATCTTTAGGTGAAATTAAATCGTATATTACATTAGAACAAAGTGTAGATGGAATGTTTGAGGAATAACATATCTTTATAAACATTTCAGAATTCAAAAAATTAAGGATAAAATAAGGACATTTCTAATGCTTAGCGGGCATTATATAAAGCGGGGTAGTGAAAGAACTCTTGAATGGACATTACAATCATTAACGACGATTAGTTTTAATTTCAATCTTGTTAAAAATGATTCATTATAGTTACTTGATCTGTAATTTAAGTTTATGTTCTTAAAACTGAAAACGTTTATTATTCTGTTAGATGTTGGAGAATGTTTAGTTCTTGTTTTTTTGAAATTTTGGAATGTTTTGAAAGATGCATTCTTCCTCATCATTTTGTTCTAATGTAATATATGCCTCAATTTCACCTGAAAATGATTAGTTAAATTGATTAAAAACATTAATATGATATTTGACCATTGCTTTATTTGATGTCTAAGGTGCTTATTTTGTTAGATAAGTTAGATTTCAAATTAAACTTTTGCTTTTTGAGTCAATTGAACAATTTTGCCTGCTTTGATAGAGATCTTTGATTATTTAACTTATTAACTGTTGTCAAATATCATTATCAAAATTTAAATCTAAAGTTATGAGAAAAATTGAATTATCAAGAAAATAGAAGATTCTCTAAAAATGTTTCATTCATTCAGTAAATCTAGATTTTTAAAATGATGTTCTTACCACCTACTGGTAATAGGAACACTCTTTCCTTGATGTATCCCCATAGAATATTTGAAATCAAGTGAATAAGGGAGCCATCAAAAAAGTCTTTCAGAATCTATTCATCTGCCACTGAATTCCTGGTTTAATAGCATATGTGTATCTCTAGCAAAATGTGGTAGACCACTGTTTCTGAAACCAAATTTCTCTTTTAAAATTTAGTAGTATATCTTTTACACTGTAGTTGGTTGCACAATAGGATGAGAACAATTTGAATAAACTTAAAGTTTCAACTATTTATAATTTTTAATAGATGTATGTTAATAGATAGATGATAATATATTCTAATATATAATAATAATTTCTTATAACATACATCTATTAAAAATTATAAATAGTTTAGGTGAAAATTTCTTGTCTTTCTCTATATAATTAAAAAAATATACACTTTCTAGAGTTCTATTTGAATTTTCAAAGTCAGCTCATGTTTTCCTATGGAAGGTGGAGAGAAGTGGCATAATTTTATCATTATTATGAAGCTTCTTTAAAACCATAAAAAATGAAGAAAAGGATGGTTTAATTTATATTAGGTTGTAAAACTTTATGTAGGGCAACCTTTGTACAATGCTAAAAATTATAGGGGGGAACTAATCTTCAATAATTTACTGAAATAAAAACATTTTTTGGGATCAGATTTTCATCTCATAATCAGATCACATTAAAAGTAACATATTTTTGAACAAAATATTAGATTTAATAGTTTGAATGTAATATAGAAAATCATGTCAAAATTTAAAAAATAAGTATAAATGTATAAAAAAATTTTTGTTTAAAACATTTTAAACATATCACAGAAAACTTTGATATGTTCAAAACAATAATGGTGACATATTGTAACAGAATTCCAAGTCTGAAAGGATTTGAATTGATTTATTTTTAAGTTTTATTCTCCAGTAAAGCAATTTTTCTGTTATGAAAATAAAACCAAACTTTTTAACTTGTAAATGTGCTGTACAAAATAAATATGAGCATTTTTACTTAAAATAACAAAACAAAAATTTCAGTTTTTTTTTTTTGTAAGTAACATTAAGGTTATATTTCCCAAAATGAAGCTATTTTATAATAAGAGAAAAAGGATTGTGACATCACAATTCTCAGCTGCAATTTTTACTCATATTTTTAATTTATTTAATTTAAAATATGGGTATCCCTTACTTAACGTGGGATTTGATTAATGCACAAAATTAATTGCAGCAATCTCTTTATATACAGGGCAGAAGTGTTAATTAACTCAGCTTTAACAGCTGTCTTTACTTAACATAGATATGTTTTTCACAGCAAATAGGGTGTTGGTGAATTTGCTATTTTCATGCTGAGGGTGATTTCCGATATAGATATGTAGTTTAATTATGATAGTTGTGAAATTTAATACATTACTGCTAATATGATATTGTATTTTTTGTTTATAAGCTTATTTTAAAATTTTACTTCACATTTTGTTTACATAAAATCAAATCAAAATGTCTGCAGATAAAATATATATCAAGCATATTGTGAGAATCTGGAGATATTTTTAACGAGTTTGTTAAAATAATGTTTTAAAATTATATCAAATTAAACTTGATAGAAAAATTATCTGTCTTTGTGAAAGGAAGCACTTCCTCTGACTCACGGAGAAAAACAGTTTAGTTCCTCTTAAACTGATAGTTTGAGTGCAATGTCTCACTCTTTATCCACAAGACCACCTGATTTCTTTCTTATGCTGGAAGTAATGTGTGATATTGCAATGATTCTATTGAATAAAGGTTAGTATAAAAGATGAACGGTCACATGTCAACTTGCTCTTGTCTGATGTTTATCCTGGATGTTAAATGTTTAGCCAATAAATTACCAAATGATCGCCTAAATATCGGGCTATAATATGGCTAATTAAATGATTGGAATAAAGTAATTTGACATTAGAGGTAGGCATTAGGTGCCATCTCTTAAGTAAATTAATAATTAAAATTAAATAAATAAATTATTAAATAAATTTTAGAACCTTCTGGAATAAAAGAACTGGCCCGGGATGGCTTGAACCCGCAACCTTCGCTTGTCGTGCGGTGCGCTTGCCAGTTACGCCACCCAGACCCCGAGCGAGTCTTTGCTTCTAGAAGTATATTAGATTAGATTGTTTAGCCAATGCTTTCATTTTGGTGCTTTTGTCGAGCACCCAAGACTAGCCATCCCTCTGCTAGTTCTCAACCTCCAGTTGTTTCCAGGGACTACTCAACTCTCCATGACTACTATGGAAACATAGGTAATATAATTATGTCATGTAAACTTTCTCTCAAGTCAGGTTAGATTTAGAGGTTAGATTCGATTCTCTCTGTATTTTATAGTAATATTACTTGCTTGTTCTTATTATGTTTAAGGTACACTTTTATGTATATATTTTAATTATAGTTTGTCTTAATAAATATATAGAAAAATCCTAATTTGAATAATTGATTTAATGCCTAACTCCATCATCAATCCACATTACCATGAAATTCATGTAAATCATGTAATCCATGTAACTAATGTTGTTAATGTTTAAAGCAACTTTCCTATATTCCAGTGATACAAATTCTACTTTACTTTGTGTCTTAGTCTGCAAACTAGACTAAGTGGTGTCAAGACTGACAAGATTTTTACAGGATCTTCTTAACTATAATGGCCATCCCTGTGAGATGGAATAGACTGTTTCAGTCTCCTTGATCTCACAATATTATGTATGCTTTTTAAGTTTTGTAAAGTTATATAATGTTATACAAACAGTAAAAAATGCTTATAGTTTATGGAAAAGATGCTCCTAAATGTCAGGCAGATGTGGACAGGTAACGTTGCACTTGCCGACATAGAGAAGCAATCTAAGAATAAAGCAGTTGTCATTGAATGTTTTTTGTGTATATTTTTCGTTAGGTGCATGCA